ATTTTCCTTAGTTGTCAGTTATAATCATCAAAATTAAAAGAAATAAACATTTGAAATATATCAGTCTGTGTGTAATGAATGAATATAATAGACAAGTTTCACTTTTTGAATGGAATTAGTGAAATAAATCAACTTTTTGATGATATTCTAATTATGTGACCAGCACCTGTATAAGACTGATGCCAGTCACTTCCACACTGAGGCATAAAGCTTATTCATTAAACAGCGGTATCGGCTGATGGCCAAAGCCCAGGGATCTGTGTCACAACTGGAACAAGTTGGGTTGTAGTATCCCTTAAGTCCATGCTGACCAGAGGAAGGTTTGAGTTCAGCAGGTCAATTAAGTTAAATTCTTGTAAGTTGTAATTGTAATTTGACAGTGTGTATTGGATTAGAATCAGACTCCACCTTTAAATAGGCCCTTGTAATAATAGATTATGATGGAATCTTTAAGACCCTGTCCATCTAAATGACAGACAATGAGAAAGTCTAAAGTAATCACTACTGTCACGTAGCAGAAGCTAAACTGACAATATGTTGACCCATTCAGACCTGCAGTACCTTCGGTCTGAATTTGGTGTAACATTACCTTGTTGTGCAGTGGGTTTAGAATCTGTGTTTTGATAGATGCTAATGAAATAACTGAATCTACACACGCTGCCAGATTATTAGGTACCTCTAGCTTAAATGAATTCAGTCTAACACAGCAGGTGTGCAATAAATCCTCCTCCATAAAGGTTATAGTCAGTGTTTGTGGAAACTGTTTTAGAGAGGTGTGTCTGTTAATTTATCCACTCCATATGTTATATCATATATCATAGAGGTTAAATAACACTCCTCCATTATACATCAATACATTTCAACAGCATAACAAGCATCCATCACAATGGTCATAAAGGTTTGAACAAACCAACACTGACCATGTAGGGCTGATTAGTTTAGGTGGACCTAATAAAGCAGCAGCTGAGTGGCTCTAACCAGATCATGTTCCTGGGTGTTAGAGACGTAGACAGTGAGCATCAGTATATGATTGTATATGATAACTATTTATAGTGTATCTGAAAAACCAAATGTTGTACTGTTTGTTTACAGTCTGCCTACTGCCGTGTCAGAGAGCAACCTAGAGGAGGAGAAGCAGCGTGAGGAGGAGGGAGCCCCCTCACCTCTCGTCCATGGCCGGATCTCCAGTGATGAAAGTGAGGCAGAAGGACCCGAAGAGCCCGTCGAGTTCCCATCTTCTGCTGCACATCCCAGACCACTAGCAGTAAGCAGTTTGTACTTGGGTTTAACAGGGGTAAAAAGCACCAGGGAGTTCCTGCCAAAACTGTCAAGGAGCAAAATCCTGATATTTTTCTCAGTTGTTTAAATCAGATTTTCTGACACCTATGCAGCAAAAAGTCTTGAATTCAAACTCTGAAATATGGCCCTGGCATACAATGACCTGATCAAGCTGTGATAGCTTTGTTTGTTGGAAAATAATTGCTTATCCATTTAAACCATGATAGAAAAGCAGACTCGGAAGAACTCAAGCAGTCTATTGAAATTGTCCAGCTGATCTGCAAAAACATAAACAACACTCTCAACTGTTTGAACTCTGAGCTGCTCTAGGCATATTAACTCATCATACGTTTCCAAAATTCCATTTATAAAAATAAGATGATAACATCCAACTTCAAAGCATACTAGATCCACCCGCTGCTTTTTTAGTCTGACGTTGTGTTTACAGATCTGTTTTCTTCAGACTGCAACACTTGTGTCCCAAAAAGACTCTTATGAGTGTTTTGTTGCACACTGAAGATGTTATCTATTGTGATGAGATCAAAGGTAACTTTTTGCAGGCTAAACCGTCCTGCATGTCCTTAGCAGCAAAAAGAGAGAGCTTTCCATATCCGACTACTACTCCCAATTCTATGAGAGATTTATCTTGCTCTTAATATCAATACTTCCAATACTCCCATATCATAGTGAAGGTTTGGACAGTGGTCATTTCAAAGTAGTGCCTCTTCTTCCACCAGTACGTTGAGTATCTTTATTTTCTGTTGCTTAGTCAGAGGATGAACGTGTCCAAAGAATTGTGGTTCAGGGCTTGACATGAAAATGTTCTACTTGCCCGAACTTACTTGTGCAAAATGGAGAATGTAGGCCTATGGAAAAATAGTACATAAAATCAACATGGTTATGAACAGTTAAAAGACATACAATTGATATGCTCTCCTCAAAGCCACAAGACTCCATTGGCAGAAACACTAATTTAACTGCGATCATTGTAAAACACACTTCATTCAAACTGTTCAAACTGAACAATCACCAGCTCTGGATGTTTTCTTCAGACGCTTTACATGAGTGGTTTTAATGATGCATTCTAAGCTGCTTAGAGCTACTGTCAGTTAAGTTAAGCAGGTCATAATTCCCTCTCTAACATCTATTTTATATTGAAGCTTCTTGCACATCTACATAAAGACGTTATAATTTACCTTCGCCCAACACTGATGTTTACTAACTTTAGCTTGAACGCATCATAATGTAATTCAATTCAACCTTTTAGCTCCATTGTTTCACCAGCTGCTAACAGCTAACCACTTCTCCTCTTGCTGATTGCAACACATGTTTGTTGTTCACGATGTAGCATTCCCAGGGATCAGCGACCAGAAAGCAGTAATGACAATCTCCCCATCTCATATTTTACTGAATATCAGACGATAGTGATCGGCTACCGGTCAATCAGTGAAACTGTAATAAAGATCACGTTTATTTTTTACCTGCCAGATCAGACAACTGCATGAGGCATTCCACTTGTCCGAACAGAGTTTACTTGGTTTTTATGTTTAACTAGAGAGGGCCTTAGATTTCACTCACTTCATATCTTGTTTGATTAAGTTGATGGAGTGTAGTTGTCCATTTCATTTTTAAGTTGTATCCAGAAATGCGTCAAAACACAGAACCAAGGCACAAGTGAAGTGTGATTTGACTAACTATGAGACCACTGAATAATGCAGAACGTTGATTTTAAGTCAACTGACCACCACTGGTACAGTAACCAGAGGGGAAACACATTTACAAGCAGCTTGTTTCTCTAGGTTTGTTCGTTTGGCAGCCACGCGCTGGGTCACGGCATCTACACGTTTGACAGGAGACTTCATCACCTGAGGTCGGCTCTCAGCAGCATGCTGGAGCAGCACATCAGCGCCCATCTTTGGAAGTAAGAAACTCCAGCTCACATTCCTGCTCGTGCTCTGCTTTTATGGTGCTGATTCTTCCGATTTTTTGCAAGAAAGTATTAACTTTGGTTACTTTTTGTCACTGGCGTTTATATAGTAAACTGCTTTAATGTATATTCTGTCACTGAAAATAAGACTGGCTGAGACTGGCTGTTGTCCAAAGGTTGTGATGTTGGTACTTTTGTACACACACCACTGATTTATCAATGGAACAAAATAAGCTGAGAGTAATACCACAAGGTCACCAAAGGCTTTCAATGGGCTAGAATAGGCTCTGCCTCCTCTCCAGTATATTGAAGTGGCTCCAATCACTGATCTGAAAAAATGAGCTGCCGATCCGAGAAATGTTCAGGACTGTTACTTTAGAAGACATACGCTCTGCCACCATCCTGATCACTCAGTTGAAATTTGCCAATCTTTCTTTTCAACCACTGTAAACATATGAAGGGCTAGTGACATCAGATCCTTCCCTTTTGATAACACTTTGAGATAAACTCGAGTGTAACCCACTTCTTAGTCACTAGGAGATGAAGCAGATGGTGTTTTCTGCTGCCCAGAATAGCAGTAGTGAGGAGTCTGTGAAGTTGGCAGTAAGATGGAGACTGACTGCGTTTATACGCACAAAAGAAAAAATCTCACTGGAAAATGGGACAGTCTTTATCCTGTGAAATTGTCATAATTAGCATATCAATTCTTGAGTTGTGGCTAATCCTGTGTTTTGTGATGTCACAGTGAGTAAGCCTAACTTAGACCTCCAGTTTCTAATCGGCTCATAATATAGTCCTGCCAGCCGTCTATACCAGATGTAAAAGAATTTCCTCTAGATGCTCCTGTGATATTCCGTTCATTACGGGCCACAAACCTGATGAACAACATTACACCCACACAGGTTATACTGTCCATAGCTTTCTGACTATGGTTTCGTACAGACCACCCCTACCTTTACCTGAGCGTGACAGCTAGCTCACTAAACTGCTACGGCTCGTACGAAAAAAAAGCATTTTCCCCCCCAAATATTCTTTATTGTTCAGATCCAGGTTTCTCATACCTGGCAGGGCTGTTACTACTAATGTAATGTAACGAAGATTGGCATACTGCATCTTCATTGTGTTAAAATGTTGAGTGCAGCCCTTATTTGAACTCAGTCTTTGTTAATTAAAAAAAAACAAATCAAACACAAGAACGATGAAAACAAGAATAAGTAGAAATAGTCCCCCCCCCCAGCCATAATTGCGGCGAATACAAAACCAAACCAGTGAAACATAAATGGTTTAATCTGCCCTGTTTAGATAATTCAATGAACTCTTGTCAACTAACGATATTTGTATTTTATATCATAAAGATTTAAAATAAAACATTTTAGATACATTTATATAATTAGAAATATTAATTCAACTCCGGAAATACAGTACATTATCAGATACATTAACAAGACTGCACACTCCTGACTGCTTGCTGCTATGTTACAGCTAGTTAAGTCATTAATCAAAAAGCATCAGCATCCCATGTTCAATTCTAATGCTTCACATTTTTGTTATCCTATAGAACAGTGTTTATGTTTTATTCTGATCTAAGGGCTGTTTCATTTATTGATCTATGGATTTACCTATTTTACAGAAAAATACCACAAGCCACAGACCTTCAATCTCCACCTTCCTCAGCCAAGACCATCACTTCCTCGTCTCCCTCCTCCACTTCCTCCTCGTCATTACATTCCAAGGTCCGCACAGGAAGTCACATCACCTCCTCCCTCAAAACTGCATCTTCTTGCTCCTCTTCCAGTCGTGGTCCAGGGAGAACTTCGGCAGCCATACAGTCTGAGAACTCCGGGGACAGCGGGAGCAGCATCGGTGGTGGCCACATGGTGTCTCCGGGTAAACCTGTGACGGTGCGTCAGGGGGGTTCCGGGCGACCCAAGAACCCCGTGGGGCGTCCCAGCAAGCAGATGCTGAAGCTGCGAGAGGAGGCTGCTGCCGCCGATGCCCTCCGCAAGCGGAAGGCCCCGTCACAGGAAGGAGAGCACTCAGGCCCCGAAAGGAACTGCATCCTCCTCCATGACCGGGGCCGCCCACCTTCCGCTGCCTCTTTCTCCTCCTCCTCCTCCTCTTCCTCTTCCTCTTCCTCCTCTTCCTCTTCCTCCTCCTCCTCTTCATCATCTTCTTCTTCTTCTAAACCCCCCGTTTCCTCCCTTCTCCCCCACGGACAGACCAATGGCACGCTTTCCCCCAGCAGCAAACCCCGCCCCCAGCCCTCCCCTTCAGAGTCCCATTCACCAGCCGCCAAAACGGTCTGGACCTACAGACGAACACACACTCCTCTGGGCCATTCATCATCCCCAGACCCCTCCTCCGCCGCTAACAACTCCCACAGCAGGGGCGGTGTGGGGGACTCAGGACTGCACGGGCCGGGCAGCGGGAGGGGCTTTGAGCACCAGGGGCTTGTGAAGAAACGCAAAGGGGGCGGCATGGAGGAGCATTCGCCGTCCTCAAAACCCTCAGCGCACCGCCTGCCCTTCTCGTCTTCCAGCTCTGCCACCTCCTCCTCTCCGCGCTCTAACTTTTACCCCTGGAAGGACAGCAAAAGTGGGGGGCTGGCTGGGGGCGTGGAGAAGAAACTGGGTACACAGAAGGTGAGTTAGGAGCCGAGAGAAGCAGGGATTAAGAAGGGACGTCACAACACCAGAAATGTAGTAGTCGAAATTCCACGATTCTCAATACCCAATTCAATACCTAGGTGAAAAACAATAAATAACATGTCACACAACATACATTCCTTTATTACCATTTGCATGAATCCCTCATAATGTGCCTCAAGTTTCTTGCCGAAAACTTCATTTCACAAGGTTACATTTGAAAACATCCTAATAACGTTATAATTTACCCAATACAAATTTTTACTGAATTGACCAAAAAAAATGGTGTCAGTTAACGTTACAATATGCAGCTTTTCTCCTGGCGTGGTAAAAAGTTCCTGTCCCAACATGATGATTTAGAATCAGTTGAATGGCTGACAGTGTGCACTACCAAGTACCAGTCTGACAACACAACACTGATGTTTTTTCTTTTCTTACCATCACAGTTATGACCTGTGGCTGCTTCCTACATAGTTAAAGAAACAACGAGCTACCTGCTTACCCTGCCCGTATGACACACCTTTATTGTATATTCCCAAACACAGCATTGAAAAGTCCAATTCAGGCAAATTAGCGGTGTAGTTAAGAACAAGCATTGATCATGTAAGGTCAGCCTGTGTGTTTAAAGGAATATGCAGCAGATAGGTCATGTTTTGAGCATCAGACACTCACTCGTTGGCAGGGGTGGTTTTAGAGGTTTCTACTGACTCCTTGTAACTTTGTTGATGTGACACTGGGTCGCCATTGTAACTGAAAGAGCCAGCTACTAGCTTTCCAGAGTCACCTCCAAAAACTGATTTTCTGTCAACTATGTTTAATGGAAAACGATACCTGCTGTACTATTCAGATTAAGTCTAAACAAAATGTCAACATGTGGTTGGTGTTCTGTGGACTGGTCCCCCCAACTTATCGTGCCTATAGTAAGGCCAGTATTGGCTCTGCTTTTAGACTTGTCTAACACAAGTCAGTTACAAAACATGAAGAATGGATTAACGTTAGGTCTAAAACGTTTGTCACCTTACGCTCCAGGCTGTCTCTCCACTAAGAGCTGTGTTTCCATGGTAACAGTCAGTGGCGTCTGATAGACAGAGACTGCAATAATGAGATGTATACTTTGTGATTTAAAAGGCCGAGTAACTGTTCTTCCACAAGGCACAGTTACTGTGGTCAGCAGCTTGAAGCTGAAGCCTAGTCAGGTATTCATCTTCAACTGAAAGCTACCCAGACTACAGAACAACGTGGTCCTATTTAAAGGTAAACCGCTGATTCTGGTTCAGTGCAGCCTCGTGTTGTCACGTTACTGGAATTTTGGCAAAAACATTGACACTACACTGCTTAACAGTTTAGATTAAAACACTGTGTGTAATACACAGTGTGTGTGTAATAACCCGCGGTCGGAGAGCAGAGAGTGCAGCTGGTACAATGAGTATTGAACCGTTTCAAATATTCAGTGTTGATACTTTGATATTTTTGGCAACACTTGTGTCACCCAGTGCCCTACTGTTGCACCCCCAAATCCCAAAAAATTAAATGAGCCGAGTTTTACCATCAACTAAACATTAAGGAAGTGTCTTATCCAGCCGCCAGATTCTTTTCCTCCTCGTCTCACTTTTCTGACACTACGTATGTCAGTCTGTTTTATTCTACTTCATTTGGTATGGTTCTCAAGTGAATATCTGTACATATCAGTTGCCAAAATAAAAGTAACAATTTCAAATGTTTCTTTTGTCCCACAGCCAAAACTGCACCATTAAGTGTGCCTGCCTTACAAGCCACTAAGAGGGAGCCAGCTCCGCTCAGTCCAAGACTGAGCCAACTGTGTGTGTGTGTGTGTGTGTGTGTGTGTGTGTGTGTGTGTGTGTGTGAGGGAGGGAGGTGGGATGAAATTCAGAGTATGGATCTAAAAATACCTCAAGACCGTCTGGTTATGCTGCTAAATTAAATATGTTGGTTTATAAAAATGGATTAAAATGTCCTTTACACTTGGTTTCTGTGACTTATTTTTAAGGCTACATGTGTTAATTTAAAGCTCTCCATACTTGTTTTTTTCTTAAATGTCACATTTTCTTCACATTCACTAAACTCTAGTATTGTTCTAAGTTGGGCATCAGTGTGTGGAATAATGAGGCCACAGACTGCTTTATGATTATCGTTACTGCTGTGGTGTTGCAGCCAAGTTTAGATACTGTGATTGTTAACTTGGTTCTGTTGAAGTTGTTTAAAAGTGATTCCCACTTTGTTCAATGTGATGTTTGCATTGTGCACTTGACACCAGCTGCAACACCAAAACATTATTTTATAAAAAGGGTGGTGAGAAAAACAGTTGTGCATTTCAAAATAAAACCTTAATCTATGAATAGGTTACAGCTGATTATTGCAGGGTTGACGAGGTTAAGATAAAGAACATTAAAATAAAGGAACCACTATAGGAATATGTTAAATATCAAGATATTTAAACAAGGCAACTGAGAAACGATATTAAATAATGAAATGCTAACTGATTACGGAATAAAGTCATGTGATATGTGGTAACCAGAGACCACAAATTCTATAGTCTACTATAGTACAACAAAAACTGCAAAAAGTCAGTCATATTTGAATTAGGAACGACATGAATTTTACTGAAAGGGCTGGAATAGAGTACTAAGTGGCATGTTTTCCGTTATTTAATTAAATGTACCCAGCACAAGTTTGTGCCACTCATAATAATAAATGACACATTATCATTAATTATAATGCATACGAGGTAAATCCCGGCGGCAGTTTGGAGCACGCTGTGGAGATTTAATCAGACCGCCATCTAACTGAATACCAAGCGACTAAGTTGAAAAGCAGGAAATGGAAGTGAACCATCTCATATCTCTCCTACTCTTCGGCGTTCACGAACGAGCCAAACCCAGGAAGTGAAACCAAAACAATACCATGGATGTATTACAGGATAATACGGGCCATCAGCCGTGGCAGCGAAGAGACTTCCAATCTTCACTGTGCACCAGGTACACACTGCTGGGACTTTGGTTTTAGAGGATGTGAGAAGTTGAAAGAACATTACGAGAACAACCGTCAGCTTGTCGGATAGTGTTCGCCTCAGTCCAGACCTTTAAATCCGCCCACATTAGCCGACCCAGTCTGTAATGCATAGTCGGACCGCATTTGTCTCGGGAGGATAAATAAATAGCGTCCGCTTTTTCCGTTTCGTCAATTTTGCCGAAAACCACTACTACGACTGGAAAGTTAACAGATGTTTCAAGTCAAAACGGAACTTGCAAACCAATACAGCCTTTATCCCGCTGAACAACAGATTTTCCTTGGGAAATGGAGACAAACATAACCGACGTGGATTACTTCAGTACCACACCGTGAATGGTAGGCTGTAGTAAAAGTTCAGTTCCTATATTCATTAAATATTATACCCTTTGCACATTTTTTAGGTAAGGCCGTAAATTAATAAAACTATAAGACGCTTCACCTGGACGCGGACTTAGAATAACTACATACCGGAAGTATGTAAGTTTGTGGTCCATCGAATCACACATCTAGCTTGTAGACAGCTGTCCGGTTCATCCTCCTCCACCAAATAATTATGGAGCGCGTGCAGTGGTGCGACAACACACGCACTGCGTCTCTCCGTTTCAGCTCACCCTCCACACCCGCCGGAGTCGGCAGGTGATCCAGTGGCATGCCGTCTGACGTGGAGTACAGCCCGGTGGGAGAGGGCCTGGGGATGCGAGACTACTGGCTGTATGTGTGGCTCCGGAGGGCGGCGGTGATAGCGGCTCATGTCACCGGCCTGGGCCTGACCCTCATCATCTCCCTGCTGTCCAGACCCGGAACCAGTGAGTGGACAGATGGATGTTGGGAGACACATCCTGCCGACCAAAACACTAGTTCATCACTAGTTCATTCTATCAAAATAGAATAACTTTTTCATTAAAAATGCCATAGTTTATATAAATTATTTTAGGCTCGAGTAATTCGTTGATTTTGTTCGGTTGAACGGGTTACTGGTTTGAATAAACCAATACATTTTATAATTAATAGAAAAGACTACTAGCCTCCTCATATAGCTTTATTTATCAACTTATTCTCTCCATTCTCGCAATTTTCTTATTAGAAACTTGACAATGAAGCAGTTGAAAATGAAGGGGTGATTTATATAAAACAAAGTAATGCAAAATTATAAAATATCCTCTTAATAACTTATCACATTTTAAAGGGTTACTGTATCAGTGTTTGTGGCATTTAACACTTAGGATATTTATTATAATACTCCTTTAATATTACTGTGAAGACTTGTACTGCTATATTTGCGTAATATTTCTATTGATTTCTATTTGGGTAGAGTGATTATTTAACTACTGATTGTATGGAATTTTCAAATACCATAATTATGCCATCTCTAAAATGCCTTCTGATAAATGCCCACTGTGATATTTGCATTGAGATGAAACGGCTTGTGAAAGCCTCACATTGGAGAAGCTGGGACCAGTGAATGATGCTATATCTCTAGAAGATAAACAACACATTATTAATCAATCAGCAAAACTATCATCAGATTTATTTCTGAGAGTTGAGTGGAGCACAAAATATTGTCCGATTGAGTGTGCAGTCAATGTGAAATCTGCTGCCACGGTTTCCTTCAGCTGTGTCATGTGATAATCATTTTGGTAATGTCATTTTGGAAACTGGATAAACAAAGGTGAGCCTGTAGCGAGCCCCACTGAAGCCCTTCTCGAACTCAAATCTGGAAACAGTTGTGATCACTCTACAGTTTTGTCATTAATGAACTTCCAAACATTTTAAATTGCAAGATGCTCACAGGTGTTTCTCTGTGTTCCAGGTCTGTTTTCGTGGCATCCGGTGTGCATGTCTGTTGCAGTAAGTTTGCAGTCCATACAGTACATGACTTCACCTTCTCCACCTGTCTCCTTGTTCTTACACACTCAGTCCTCTCTCCTCTTCTGATCATGGGTTGGTCTCAGCTGACATGCCCTCTCATTGTGCACTGTGACAGAACCTGACGGTGTATCTGTGTCAGTGGTATGCAGCTATCAGTCTTTCACCGCTCCTGTTCAACCAGACACTTCAGGGCTGTGCACTTATTGTCACAGTTCCAACCTACTCTGTGACAAGTCCCTTCAGTGTGTGTAGGTTTGAGTACGGCATTACTTTGATAAATCACACACTGTTGGAACATTCATCTCGAGTATAAAAACATTAACTACCTTGTTTTTTGTAGGTTATTTATAATATAAAACTATTAAGCAAAAACGTTTATTTTATTATTAGTTTGATTATCTTCATTTTGCATGATCTTGAGAGAATCCTGATAGATAATCAATTATTACTAGTAATGGCACGGCTGTTGGTTTACAGCAGCCTACTGCTCCTAAAATGGGCGAGGATGGGGGAAATTTCATCTTTGCAATGATAAAAATAACGTTTTGTAAATGGACTGGAAAATACTTAAAGGTACAGTGTGTTGGATTTCAGGCATGTATTGGCAGAAATAGTTAATACTTAACTATGTTTTTTGATAAGGGTATAATGAATCACATGATAGTAAGAATCGTGTTTTCGTTAGCTTAGAGTGAACCCTTCATATCTGCACAGGGAGCTGGTCCTCTCCGCGTAGTCCTCCATGTTGCACCTCCATGTTTCTACAGGAGCCCAGAACGGACAAACCAAACACTGGCTCTAGAGAAAGATGTTCACGTTTTTACATTGAAGTGGCAGCTTTAATTTGGTGGCGTGACTGCACCGTAGTGGGTTAATCCAACCCTGCTCTTAAATATGACAAGAGTCTTCATTACAATCATTAGATAATGATATAATAATTGCGAGAAACCAATGACTTTCATGACAAAACCATCTTTTAAAACACTTACACATACCTTTTGAGTTTTTTTTTCCTCATAATTACGAGAAAAAAATATGAAGGGACCATTTCCTCCTTAGTTTGAAGCATTGGGACATATTAATATCATTGAGTCATGGACAACAATTATCAGTGGGAATGTTACAACACTTCAGTAGTGATTCACACATTCATTCAGGCAGGTCTTTCAGTAATGCGTATCAAACTGCTGAAATATAGGTCAGGAAGTAATCATGTGATATCTGGTCTTTGACATAAACAAATGTAAACTACTAAAATAATGCAGGGTATGATTTCACTGGTAAAACATGAAGTCTCCTGTAAACCCTCCACATACCTGTAGACTCACACCCTCTATTCTCCGTGTCTCATTCTTCTCTCTGATGTGAATGATAGACTGTGTAGCATCACTGCGTCGGGTATCGTGTTACAAACTGACTTTGAATATGTTAGCGACAGCAGCTTACAGGATGTCATGGTGTCACCGCGTGATTATCAGTCATGTAAGTCTGATCCTCAATGTTCACTTCCCTAATTTTCATTCAGTAGCTGCCCTTTATTTAAAATGAAAATGTTTTTCAACCATAGACAGATGGTTGAAAAACATTTTCAGTAGACACAGTGGAACCGGTAAAACAGACTTCTGCTTTCACTGCTCGTTAAGGCTCAATGGCACAATCTCATACAGTCTCATAGTGACGTGGCACTAAATATACTGACATGTTTAGTTTTGTATCATGATACAATAATATTGTAATGATGCTGATTTCTGATTGATAAAATAGAATATGTGGACACCTCATTCTAACTTCCAGTGGACAGTTTAACCTCCATTCTAAATGACTGATCATTCTAAATCACACTGCAGGTAACTATACCACCCGCACTTAAAGGATAACGCTGGTATTATTCTATATTTGACTCAGTAAATAGAGTAGAGTAAACTTTATTGTCCAGTTGAGGATTATGTTCGGTCTTCTCACCGGTCTTGTTCACAAGTTAAAGTCCCATGAAAAAGCCCAAACCAACATGTTATTATATCTCTCATTACTGTCTGACTTCCCTCAAACCCATTGGTTCCTATACTGAAGATGCAAATTGTTAAACAGAGAATTAGAATATCAGCTAGGGACAACGTTAACACAGCTCTGATAGTGGGAAGAAACGGGAAGATACTGTTCCTGTGTCTGGTTGTTTTGTCGTACAGTGTTCCGGGTAAAGAAAATCACATGACAGTCTTCATGCTGCACTACAATTAAAGGATAATTCCTATTTATTACAATTTGGGCTTATTGACATAATTTTGGCCATATCAATCAAAATCATAAGCACTATTCTCACTAAAGTAATTGCTGAGATCTGTGAATGCAGCAACAGCGCTGCAACATGGAAAAACAGGAAACACCTGTTGGTTCAACTACCTTACATACATAGTTCTCCTGTAGGATGAATCATTACTCACAGTTTAGTTGTACTCCCTTTTAGTTAGTTGTTTTTTTAACAACCTGTCTACGCCGTCAGAGTTTGTTGCAGCAATGTAACCATGTTCACACATCTCATTAATTACTTTGGGGTGTACAGTGTTGTCATAAACAAGAGACATTATGGTCAAAACTACAAAAACAAACCCAAGTTGTAATAAGCTAGAATTATCCATTCATTCAGACTGGCGAAAGTGACCTAAATATGTGCTGATGTGACCACAAACAACAGCATAAAAAACACATAATCATTTAAACATAGCCTTTTTCCTTTGATAAGTAGCCATGGCTAAGCCTGAGGTGAGAGCTTTGTGCTATGGCAACAATAGCACTACGCCAACTTTTAGCTAACTATTTAGCTAAAAGTTGGCCAACTGTGGCTCAGTGGTAGAGCAGGGTCGTCCTTCAATCAGAGGATCGGTGGTCGATCCCCGACTCCACTAGTCCATGTCCATGTGTGCTTGGGCAAGACACTCAACCCCAAATTGCTCCTGTAGCTGTTCCTACGGTGTGAATGTTGATGGACAGGTGGCACCTTGCATGGTAGTCCTGCCATCAGTGTGTGAATGGGTGAATGATGACATGTAGTGTTAAAGTGCTTTGAGTGGTCGGAAGACTAGAAAAGAGAAATAGAAGTACAGTCCATTTATTTGTTTATCCAATACTTCCATTACATTTAGCTAACTATTTCTGTTTTGTCTCCCACACTTGGTTTGGTTTCGCTGTTGCATCCACCATTGTTTCAATTCTGTGAAACCCATAATGCATTAATCAGTCACTCATAGGGAAGCTTCATGCTAAAGGTAAATTTAAGTGTCTATATCAAGTGTGACTTAAAGTTATATTTTAGACAAAGACTAGATCTTTTTTATGCCCCTGAAAATAATACTCATTTTTCGCCTCCACCTCAGCCTTTACTTTCTTACGTCAGAACCCATTGTTTTGTGTTTCTTTACACACACACACACACACACACACACACACACATTCTATCTGCTTTGCAAAGAAGAGAAGAAGACACCTGTATATACACCTTTGTGTCTTTTCTCTGCTGCAGTACTGCCTGTGTATGACTGAAGGCATCCTCCTCTTCTCGGCTGAAAGATCCCCCTTTTGTTTCAAATCTCGGAAGTGTAAAGTCCGTCTCCACTGGTTCTGTCAGGCTCTGGTCCTGATAGCTGCGGCCACTGGCCTGGGCTTCATGTTGGCCAGCAAGAACGTGTCGGAGCTCCCCCACCTGGTCACCTGGCACAGTTGGTTGGGCATCAGCACCTTGGCTGCCACCGTGCTCCAAGCGTCTTGCGGTATCTGCTTGATCTTCCCTAAGCTGCTGCGTCTGTCCTCCTCTCCGCTGAGGCTGAAGCTGTACCACGCCACCTGTGGTCTGCTGGTCTACCTGTTGGCCACGGTAACCGTGGTGTCGGCCATGTTCTCAGACTGGTTCCAGGCTACGGTGAAAGGGGTGGCCTGGTGGGGCTTCCTCCTGCTGCCCCTCTTCCCCGCTCTGGTGGTGATGAACCAGATCACGAATGCCTACCTGCCCCGCAAGAAGATCACAAGCTAGGAAGCACATAGCACGAGGCAGATCCTCTTTGTTCTCTCAGTGGCCATATTGGGTCTACATTGTAGTCAGAGGCCCAGACAATCACATTGAAGAGTGCTCCCCTAAAGTAAAATAACTAAAGAATAGCTCGACATGCTGGCAGTCCCACAGTCTGCATTTATATAACAACTTTCTAGTCTTCTGGAGACTTGTAGCGCTTGTAACTGCATATCAACACTTACACTGATGGCAGAGGCTGCCATGCTAGGTGCCACCTGCTCGTCACACTCTAAACCAATCACGCACGCTGATGAGAAAGGGAGACATTTAGGGTTCAGTATCTTCCACTCACGTTATTGTGTGAAGTGACTGTAGCAGTAGGAGTCTTTGTTGTTAGCAGCAGGCTAGCAGATGTGTTTTAGTGTGGAGAGTTACAAGTATTCCATTTGATAAATCAATTAAGTGATTAACACAGTAATTATGTAATGAATTGGAAGAAGTGATTTTAAACTACAAATTATAAACATCTTGGGCAGTAGTCATTAATTGGACTGTATGCATTACTAGGTTGTGTGCACTATTTTAAAATGATACATCCTAGTGGCCAGTAGAAGAACTGCAGCTAAAAACACTTAAACGTTGGCATCTTTGACTCCTGCTATAATAAGAAACACAAAGACATTTTTAAAGAATCGAATGACACTATGTATACACACATGGAGCAGGACGAGTAGGACACGGTCATTGATCCAAACTACTGGAGGCAATTCCATCGGTGTAGCTGGAGGACACCTGAACGTCTTTTATCTCCAGAGGAACATTTGCACTACTTATGCAGTGACGAAGTCTCAAAGACAGTGTGTAGAGACTGGTTTCTGAAGGGAAATGCTGTTTATGTTTTTATGTTTGATTATATACCAGCCTGTAAATTCTATTTATTTATTCATTTATGATATTTTGTGTTGTGTCTGTCTTGGCTGCTCAGAGGTGCTACATGAAGCAGTTTAGCATTAAGTTCCATCAATCAACATTTTTTATATTAAAGCGGCAACATACGACACTCTGAACATTAATACAGCAGCAAACAACTATTAGCTATGTAAAGGAATAGTGGAGTAATGTCTACCTGCGGATACAGCTGATAAAGCATCCTCTGGTTCTCCCTCAGGTCAACACTGTTAGCGCTGTTAGCTACGAGCCGCCAGCTCAGGCATTTGAAATGTCTTCTAGCATTATCATTGGTGTTACAAATTGGTTTCTTCATTTGATTATAAAAATGATAGCATTGATAGCATTACCATGTTATAAACTACATGTAGCACCTCTGGCTCATGAGCTACTACTTATCTTTGTCTCTTTGTGTTTCGTTTGTTGTAGTAATCAAAAGGAAAAATTAATGTGTTGCTACGTCATAAAGGACAAAAGACTTCTGTCCAGTCCGCTCAATATCTCTGCAAGATAGACCGAAAGATTGTACCAATAACTGCACTTTTCCATCCAATTCAGAACTAGTTATAAGTCAAGGTGAAATGAATCAAAACCAGCTTCCTTATAAATGAACATCAGAGGGCTTTACGTCTCCGAGGCGCATTTTTTATCTGGGCAACAATAGCAAGACAACGTATACACTAGATAAAACAACACGATACATAAAAGTCAATCAGTGTGATAGAATGAATAGACTCGGTAGGATAAACTCATAGGTAATCATTGGTGGTGTCACTTTAGCGCTGCCTTTAGCCAAAGTTCCAGAGTCTATAATGTTTGTGGGTATAGAAATCCACTTCCCACTACTTCTACAGAGAGAGAGCAGACTGACCAGAGGTCTCTCTCTGAACCCAGTAGATGCTCTAGTCCTACTGGTACTGCCACTGCCGGCATAGACCAGGCCTCTCAAAGAGGAGATGGTGCGAGATTAGGAATCATTTTAAACATCAGACATGTCATACAGGAGTCATACAAGAATTTATAAAGATTGAGGACATTTTTTTTCAGGATATTACAGTGATGATCCCATGGCTTTTTAATCTAGTAATTCACTTCAAATCTCACCAAACTACTAATACAATTCAACCCATTTGATACTGTTGTTGGGTGGCTTTACAGCACGGGAGCCCCCGACCGGCCTAATAAAAGCCCTGAGCCGTCTAGTCCACCTGTTATTTCAGGGAACACTCAGGGAGAGCCTGCTGAGGCCGATGAATGCCGAGCCTTTTTTAAAGCTGATGAACAGACCTGTTGTATGTACTGATCCTCCAGCACCTTGCCTCAACCTCTTTGTCTTATTCACTACTAGGCAGATTATGCAAATATGAATCAGACCTAGTGTTAAATCCATTACAAATCATTGGATGGCCTTCAGACTGCAAGCAGCGGTACCTACAGTGTGACTTATGTACAGCAAGACACAGATAACTCTACACATCACATGTAGAATGTGCTTAATGCTGGGTAATGGTATGCAACGCCGTCCAGGAGTTCTTCCCCAAACGAGATTTGACATTTTACTTTTCCTTCATTAAAATCCGGTTTTCTACTGATAGAAAGATGTTTTGTTTTTTTCTTAACTGCTCTTCCTTGATGCTTTTGTTAGCTATTTTCAACAATCTGGTTTCACTTCACCTTGGGTGAAAAGCATGTACTGCAATAAATGTAGAAAATAATTTTGTAACTTCTTTATTGAATGTGTTCAGCGTGCTTCTCAGGTCTTTGCTGTTTGAGCGTGCATGAGGTGATCACAATGGAAGTTGTAGGTTTGTATTTGTTAGGTGTGAACCTTCTGTAATAAACAAATAACTACATTTGATTTTGCATTATTTGCTTTTTATTTCAAATGAGACAAATCCACCCTTGAAGACCATTTCTCTACTGGCGATAAACCCTTTCTGGACGAGTTGTCTTGATGGTGCCACATGTTCCTGGTTACGTGGAATAACAAATGTAAAAACTACATGTTAGAGAACATTTCCGGAGCTGTCGTTTCTCACTGACACGTCCAGTGTAGAAGAGTGATACTTGTTTCTACCCTTCAGTTGCAAACAACCCAGAATGCAATGCAGCCATCTTTATGTTGTAGCCTCAGCATTTCAAAGAATAAAGCTGCCAGTATTTTATGTTTTTCTTATAGTTATCCAGTCCATAGTTACCTCAGAAAAGAGAGTTCTGAGGTTTAATAGAAGCAAACGGCATACTTCCTGAAGGGCATTGAAACTCTTTGGAACTAGGAGAGAACAGCTCCTCAAGTGATTGTTTTCATCTGCTCTATGACTTAAAATAGTTCTGTGCAACTTTTATTTCTATGGAATATATAAATAGAATATAAAAATCTATGAAGTAATCAATCAAATTGAATATCAAAGATATGTACAGTGTACAAATAGATATGCAAGACATTTATTAAACACAATTTCAGTGTTTTTCATCATTTTACAAAAAAATCCTTCATTTGACCATTGGTAAAAGTGTGATTGTTGATGTCATCTTAAATATTATAAGTTATACTGTTAAATACTTGCCCATATTAAGTCCAAACCAAATTTCAAGTCTTGACGAATCAGAACAAATGTGTCATTTTTCCTTATCATACTAAATATAGTCTTTGGGCACAAATGGGTGAAGGGAATTTGCAGAGTTGTTTTTAAAAGCTCAATAAAACATTTGTAAAAGTTGTATCCATGAAAACTTTTTCCAAGGACATACATTTTCACTCTACTCATGGCCTAGTCTGACTCACCGGGTACAGACTGGGAGTAGAAGCGGTAGATCTACACTCAGTATTATATATACATCGGAATATCTAGCAGAGTATAACCACTTCCTCCTCAGTAACCATCCCGTCCATCTAGTACACCCACGTCATCAACCATCACTACACCGCTGGGTGTAAGCCTGACATTGGCTTCTATCTATTTTGAAGGGCACCGTCAATGCATTCTGTATTTAACGCCGCCCAAGACAATTGTGATTGGTTGAAAGACAGACAAACCAGAGCATTTTCCCCTCTACCAGAATGATCAGACCCTTCCTTCGTGCTGTGGAGATAAGCCTGGCTACGTGAGATGACTCGTGGCCACATTCCGACGGCCGAGGCAGCCTGACGGAGCTCAGGTTTGTTTTTCTGCCTTTGACTTGACATTATATACAGAAACCCACGTTGGCTAAAGAGTTGTGTCAAACACAAACACACGTTCACCACATTTAATTGCAAAACAGCTCTACAACAGAAACGATGATGGTGGACTAGACATGAACCTACATCACAAAGAGTCCTGGCTGTGTGAGTTGTGTCAGAGTCGTAGCTGTTTAATGATGAGAAGAGTCATGAAAGCATAAAGCTGCTGCAGGCTCCGGACTCCTCCTCCAGGGGTCATAGTTCATGGTTAAGAGTCAGGACCTGGCAGTTTGTCCTCGCAAATGAAGGTGACCGAGCTGTTCAGCAGGTCATACATGTTGACCTCCACTACCTCCGCAGCCGACTCACTCTCTCCACCTGCCAGAGCCACAAACACCTGCTGGGCAGCTGCCAGCTGTGCCTGCTCCTCAGAGAGGATTGACTCCGCCCCTTCGCTGCCTGTTGGATCTGCTGCAATCACCTGATTGGACAGAGACGTCATATACGTATTCTAGATATTAATTCATTTTAAAAAGGTAAAAATGCACTGCTCTGTTGGCTGAAACTTGCAATGCATTTGCACTTTGACCACACGCCAATCAGTGTTTTCCATCAGGCAAAACACTGGTAGTGACATCACTAATTGGGGTGTGGCCAGCTGCTTGGAAGGTTAGCATAGCACTCCTATAGCATTGTTCTAATCTAGACCAAGTCAAATACTGCAATGTCAACCACAGACAGACATTTGGTTTCACTTTTGTGTCGAAGCTTCAGTATTCACAGTATTCAGAAAACCTCAGTTCAGAATGGTATTTAGAGCCACTTCACCGGGCTGCAGTTTAGTATAATAGTGAAGTCACACAAGGAAATAATAAAACTAATGTTTGACAATGTCACTGATAAATGACTGAACTGATTACTTCATAATCAGCTGTCTTTTGATTATGTTTGTATATGTATCTATCATCTTAGCAGGGGTGGAAAATATTTTTCAGTATCTAACAGCTGAGGGCTGAGATCACACCAGCGTGAACTGCTGTATATTGCCCATCTGACTTACTGTGTGGGAGGTGGAGGCCTGCTCCTCCCCGGCCCCCTGTGTCTCCATGTGGCAGGAGAGCAGGTGCTCCTGCAGCTCCAGCTGGGAGGAGCCCACCAGGGGGCAGAGGGGGCAGCTGAACACCTCGGCGCTCTGGCCGCCGACATGCTGGCTGCTGACGTGCTCCTGCAGCTCCTCCTCCCCGCCCAACAGGGCCGGGCAGTACGGGCACTGCACCGCCCCCGCTGCGCAGCCTGGAGAGCAGACAAACTCCTGTTATTAATGCAATGAAGGCAGAGGAGGTTTAGACCTTGAAATACTGTGCAGTATTGCTGGGCGGTATGACCAGAAATGTGTATCACGGTATTTTTTAAGATTCTGGCGGTTTCACGGTATTTTTGTTTTCCTTTAACTGTGTTTTTATATAGGTTCATAGTGGCTTACTCTCCTGTCAGAAGTACATATAAATATAATAACATTTGAATGTCATCATGTATAAAGGCTTTGCTTACTATAGGGTGTGCTCTTTTGTTTGTATAATGTTGGGAAAGCAGTTTGGCTGAAGTATTGTCGCCCCGGTAAGACGTACCTTGAATCCAATGTTTTAATCATTGCTCTGAGCCCGTCTTTCTCCACTGTCTGTAGCGGGACCATGTCCTTGCATAGGTGGATCGTTATTGCATTCGTAATGTCACTCCTCCGCTTGCTTTTCTTGTCATATGCAGTGACATTTTTTAAAACCAAAACACTTCCAAACAGCAGACACAGCTCCTCTCTTGGGTACACATTATATCGGTGCATCCCCGGTCTGTCTTTGTTCATCCTGCATCGCTCTTTTAATGTAACGTTACTGTAGCGATGGAGCTTCTCACTGCTAACAGACTGTTGTGCTAGCAGGCTAGCGTGCGAGCTGTACCCAGCATGCCGTTCGGCGGTGAAATTTTATAAATGTACAATTATTAGTGTTACAATTTGTTTATGTGTCACAAACTGTTGTGTGCTGTGGTGTTTTGCCCTGTTAAAGAGCGTTAGTTGTGGGTTATTAATTGTTGTGTTATAAAGTTATAACCATGATTAGGGGTCCCTCTCAATACAGTTAAGACAACTAGCTCCAACTGTAGCCTTCTTAGCAGCGAACAATATATTTAGCTGCCTGTTGAAGAGTGACAGCAGTTGTTTCGGCTGTGCGTATGACGGTGTGTGAAAAATTCATATCATATGGGAAATTAAAGCCGGTTAACCAGTATACCGCCCAGCACTACAAGATGTCAAACCAGGTTGGCTTCTACCTTCAATATTACTTTAAAGTATAAGGATAAACCTTTTTAAAAGTCTGCAAAAGCAAACACTAGAAATGTGTTTGGGCATCCTGGCAGAAATATGATAGTTAAATTAAATTGTTGGTTTTATTTTCATCTGTTCTTCGTGTCTCCTTAGCTGGGGCTGTTAAACTCAAGATCGCTCTTGGTCTTGAGACCAACTTTACTCAGCCTTGTCTCGGTCTCAGACAAAGAGGACTGGATTTTAGTAAGACCAGTCAAGACCACGACTGCAAGGATATCACTCAAGTGTCTGATTTGTTTAACATCATTCCCCACACATAACTCACCCATGCAGCGCCTTTTGATTATTTTTAGACATTGTCATGGTACACTGATACATACACACACACATAGTATATACATGGCAATGAGAGAGGTGGATGAGGAGGAATCTTCATTTGTTTTCTGTGGTGTTTTTACGGGAATGTGGATCTTTCAGCTCAGTTAGTGGTTTGCATGTTCCACCATTATTCTGAAGTTAGTCCTGCAGTGTGGGACTCACACTGCTCGGGTCCTGGTCTTGACTCTGCTTCAACACCCACAAAGCCTTGGTCATGTCTCGGTCTCAATACACTCTGGTCTTGGTTGTGACTTGGTTTTGATTTAGATGGTACGACTATGACACCAGCTCACAGTGAAGAGAAACACAAGAACAATGCACTGCATGTTCTTGGACTCTTATTATTGTAAATTCATTTAAAATGGCATTTAAATTCTGACACCTACAGTAGGTGTGAAGTTGAGATGTAGCAAAAGATTTCTCAGAGGCTAAGCAGCTTTGGTGCAGGGCCACATCTGGCCCACATGTCACCTTATAGGGCCTGTGGTGTCCTCACCTTGGTGCTCAGCAGCCTGGTGTTTGGCCACAGTGGCGGCGCTGGGGAAGAACTTGAAGCAGATGTCACACTGGACCAGGGTCTTGAGCTGCCGCGTGTGGTTAGCAAACACCTCTGGGTGGTTGGTCCTGTTGTGGTACCACAGGCCTGACAGTTGCTACAGCAACAGAGATAGACACATACACAAAATAAAACATTTAAGAACTGTCACCTTAAACTGACCAGCAGGTCTAATCCACCTCGTCCTACCTGGTAAGACTTGTTGCAGAGGTCGCAGCTGAAGGGCTTGGTCCCGGTGTGTGTGCCTGCGTGTTTGTCCAGCAGGGCGACGCTAGTGAACACCTTGCTACATGTGGGACACTTGTGGAACTCCTTTGGGTGGAACTCCTGGATGTGCTGGCGATGCTCCTCCAGCGAGGAAAAGCTCAAACAACACTTTTGACAGTCATGAGGTTCTGACATATCTGACAGGGAGCAGAGGCAAATCCAGAATTATGACTTCATGCGTTTCTATTGCTGTTAAAGCCAGCATAACAATATGCATCTCATCTAATCAATGCCACAGTAAATGATGCATGTCAGTGCGTGTCCTCACTGTGGAAGGTGTGCAGGTGGACGGTGAGTCCGCTGGCCTGGCTGTAACCTTTGCCACACTCTCTGCACACGTAGGGCCGATCGCCAGTGTGTGTTCGCACGTGACGCGTCAGCTCAATGGACTGGGCGAAGACAGCCTTGCAATACTGACACACGTACATTTTTCCTGAACCCAAAAAGAGACATGTTAACTCTGTGCAGACTGAACTCAAAAGAGATTTCTCAAATCACAATACAAAGGTCAGAGTAGTATTTCATTTTTTTCGGTATTTTTCAACCTGGACCCTATTTCCCCATGCTTTTGTGTCTAACTGACACATTTCTCAACAATTTCTGAAACTGGTCCAATAATGAGGGAGAAAGCTGCGACGGCAGCCGCTAAACAAGCAATGTAATGTGTAATGCAATGTAAACACTCGGGGCAGTGTGGCACCGTCGTCTGTCAGCATTGACACTGACAGGCTCAGATAGTTCTTGTAAACTTCTGAAAACACTACAGAAAGACTCTCGCTAAAGTGGAAGTCTCCCTCTGAAATCTCGCGAGGTGACGTGTTGCTCGACGACAGTGTTGGCTTACAGAAAGCGTAGCTTAGTGGTATCTAAAAGGTTTTCAAGAGAGAAAGAGAGGGGGAACCAGCTGAGACTGGTAAAACAATAACAAACCGGATCAAGTGAAAGATAAAGAAAAATCTTTAATTTCTCTGTAGGATCCTTTCCATAATATTGTCAGACAATAATAACACGAGTCTGAGCACTTTAAGTGGACGTAACTTTACATTGACGCTGTGCAGCAGGCTGCAGCGTTCTCTCCCTCAATACTGTTGTCCCCATTAGTCACGTAGACACAAAAGATGAAAAAATACGCAAGTTACTTTTGAAGTAGATGTTTGGCCCAATTCAAGATATAAATAATAATTATATTAATGGGGATGATAGGTTGTCATTTATTGATATTCAGTGGGATAATGTGTGTGTGAGAGTTACCCTCAGAGTGCTTCTTCTTGGTGTGGTATGCAAGTGCAGCAGCCACGCCGAAGCTCATGTCACAGTGTTTGCAGCGGTACGGTTTCTCTCCTGTGTGCAGCCTCATGTGATTCTTCAGAGACGAGTTGGCGCCGAACTTGGCGCCGCAGTCCTCACACGCGAACGGTTTCTCCTCAAAGTGCTCGGTGCGCTTGTGGTAAATCATGCCTGAGATATGAGGAGAGAGGGAGCACAAACATTCAGTCGAGGTTGCAGAGGGGCCTGCAACAAACCTCTTTCTATCATTTCAGAATGTACAAAAACAACAACATGATGAGTAAATACAATGAGGGACAGGGGGACACAAAACATCTGCTTATGCAACAACTAAATCCAAATTTAAAATCAGTTTGTGAAATAAGACATTCATCAGAGGATCATATACCATTACCGTATTGGCCCAAAAATACCACTATTCTTCTCTGGAAATTACAAGTCCAAACGTGGAGGTTGTATTATATTTAAGGACTACACATTCATGGGGCACCCGCTCAACCTGGAGAGCTACCCCGCATCCACGAAGCCGTTTTCAAGTTCAGGTGTCAGAGCTAGGATGTTTACGTTGTCCTTTGTGTTGCGTACAAACGGACCGGCGAGTCTCACCTGATGGGTGGGCGAAGGTCCTCCCGCAGAGGTCGCAGGACACCTTCTTCTTCTTCGCCCGCGTGGTGTTGCGGTGGGCCTCAGCCCGGTGCCGCTGCAGGGCCCGCTGGTTGGCCAGCTTCTCCGGGCACTGAGGGCACTGCTGCTCACACTCCTGGGACATGGAGCAGCGCTTCACATGGGCCAGCATGCGACACTTGTAGGCGAAGCCCCTCTTGCACCAGCGACAGGAGTAGGGCTTGGAGGACGAGGAGGAGGAGGAGTCTGGCGTAGCATTCGGGACCTTCTCCTCGTCCTCTGTCTCCTCCTTGATGCTTCCCTCCTCATCCTCTTCCTCCTGCTTTTCTTCACTTCTTGTGCCATTCTGCTTCCCTGAGTCACCTGGAAAAGATGTCAAAAAATATTATTATTGTCAGCCCAGCGAGAAGATATGAATATATAACAATGATCAACAGAAAACAGGCGTTTTCTTTCGTTAGAGCTGACATTGGGAGATTGCACAGTGAAGATAGTCCACTCACACAGTCACTAAGGGCTCTTCTTTACCTTCAGCTTGGTTTCCATGTGGTGGCTGTGAGTTCCTCTCCAACTGCTCCACCAGAGAGAGCAGCGGTGAGGGAAAGGAGGAGGGAGCTTTGTGTTGAACGGCGCGGAGCAGCCTGAGGAGCGCTCCCTCATTGAGCTGGCTCACCAGCCTATCCAGCGCTGGTCTGGGGTCTGCCTCCTCCTCCTCCCCACAGCACTGACACGCGGCCTGGCAGGAGCACAAATGTTCCTTTATTTCCCTCCACTACAGTGAGAGTTGGCCCTTCATCTGAGAGCAATGCTTATATAAGAGACAGGGTATATTCCTAATGGTACCTGCTTTATAAGAATGTATCATGTTCTAGTAAGAATCCTCCCTGTTTTCGGATCTGCTACGTTAGAATTAATGCAAACCCTAACCCTTCTTGAAAAATGTTATGTAATGTACAAACAGAGTCAGACTCATCCCTCTGCTGCTCTCACTGTTCTTCTCCAACAGAAATACTCTGTACATTGACATTTGATTTACGACTGCTTCTACTTTCCTGTGTGTTCGTTCAGTGTTACGCTGCTGTAAATTTAACACGATACTTCCTGCTTCCAGGAACTTAATAAAACTCAAAACACAGCTTTTCCCTGGTAGGCAGAAATATTACATTCTTACAGAAATTTCCAAATGTCAACATTTTTATATAGCGAATCAGCGAATGACCTTTTCTATGGTGTTCCTCTAGCTCTTATCTGGTGTTGAAGGGATTTTTGATCACTATGATGAATCCTCAAGTAGTAAAAAATTTAGCACCAAATCTGTGTAATAAATCAACCAAAAATTTGTAGCAAAAACTTATGAGACATAATTGAGCATGGGAATGGCAATATTATACTTCCATCATAATGTTCTAAGCCCTTTTAGACTATTTAAACTATCCACATTTGCAACAAATTACTTTCTAAAAAAATACTGGAGTCAAGCATACACAAATTACATCACTCAGGATATCTGTGCTCGCGCGAGCAAAACTGAAGCCCACGATTTAGCTTTGAGCACGAGGAGCATCTCCTGGTGCACGACTTCTATCACTGCTCTTCTGCTGGCAAAGCTCTCACCTGCTCACTCACAAGTATTTTTTCTTTTTGACAGTAGGTGGGGGAATCCACTCACCATTCTATCACCACATCGAATTGGTTGCAATCCTCGGTTTTGGATTGGCCAGATATCACTCTGACACAGACGCTAGGTAGTGGTATAGAGGTGTTTTTTAATCCACCACTAAATACTACTCTACTACATCTCAGAGGTGGGCCCTCTACATGCATGCACACACACACGTGCGGGACCTCTACACACACCCGTGCGCGTTAATCTAATGTGTGCTTGCGGATGTCATTGACAGTGATTTGCCCTCATACTGTTCTACCTGTCTCTCCTGTCCGTCCAGGCATCTCTGCGCTGCCTGGCTCAGCAGCTCCAGGATAGACGACATGTTGCTGAGGAGCTCCACAAGCTGAGAGGAATGTTCCAGAAAACCAGTGGCAGGCCCACTCGATGCCTCGGCTGCCGTTGTGTTATTTTCTTCCTTTTCACTTTCTGAGGATTTGGCTTCTTCGGCCTCTGTGTACACGCAGACATAAAAACATGGCGTGCAGTCAGAAAGCGTTAGAACATTGTTGTTGTGTTGTATATTGTGGGGTTGTTGTATTGGATTGCATTAGGTAATTGTGCCTAATAAACTAGTAACTGTAACATTTATGGCTGAAACACTGAAACTGACCTGAGGACTCAGAGAGCTCCACGCAGGATTTTTTACATGCTGGTTCCTCTGCGTCCTCACTGTCACTCTGACCCTCTTTCTTCTTCAGCTCAGGTTTAAGCTCTGTCTTGTCTGGAGTCGAGTCCTCGCCAGGTGAAGCTGAGCCTTCAGGGTTCATGATCTGGGCTTTGTTGATCACGGTGAGGCCTTGGGTCTGTGTAGCGACGACTGGGACTGAGGGTTGCTGGCTCACGAGACTGGTGAGGACATTTTTGAAGCCGACAGCCACGTCGAACATCTGCAGGCTGTCTGCAGCGGCGACGATGCGGCCCACGTTGTGTTTGCCGAGAGGCAGCTTGCCGGTGTAGACCATGTCCAGCAGACAGCTGAACTCCTGCGAGGACACCATGGCCGTGTCGATGGAGATGGTGTCGGAGCTGTCCAGGAGAGACCTAACAGAGATGAACACCATTTTGTTCCCGTTTAACAGAAATCACAGGTCCCAAACTATCCCACTACGAGTCATCTCTCCTTTTATTACCCAATTGTCTTTACAGTGCTATGATTTATATGAATTTCTTAAATGGGACGACTGGCTTCTGACCCACATGCTGTAGTTGGTAAAAGCAAGATAACAGGTGAATTACAATAGATGAACTCCATGAAAGAAAGTGCCTTTGATTTTCCTGTCACAGAGCCAAATACATACATATGTGTAGGGGGACGTTGACTAAAGCTGTGAACATGACACCTGGACTCGGGTTAGACGTATTCAAGTCACAGTAATGACTTGGGATGTAATTTAGACTTGGGCGGTGTGAGACCTGACCTGAAAGCTAAAGAGTCAACATTTTGACCTGGTAAAACTTTGCAACAATAAAAAATGGATGAAAAAAAGGCAAAATTATATTATAAGGACTAAGAAATTATATAAATATATATAC